TTGGAGGTGGCTTAGCTGAGACCATAGCAGACCCGTCAGTGGGCTCAGAATCAGGAGTTGGAGTAGTAAGTTTAGATGAGAGCATAATGGATCCTTCGAACACTTTGGTATCCATCATGACATCCCTGCGACTTTTTTCACCCCTGACAGTGTGAAAAACTTTAGAAAGAGAAGGTAATTTTTTCTTACCAAGAATTTGAACTCGAATAGAGTCATATTCTGAGTTGAGACCACAAAGAAAATCAAAGATCCTATTGCGTTCAATGGAGGTGGTTAGAGTGGTTGCATCCTTGCTACATTCCATCTTCAAATTCTCATACTGATCAAGCTCAGTCCATAACCCATTCATAATACCATAATATTCTGTTATAGAGAGAGCCTTGCTTGGTAAAAAAAATCCGATTCCTCAGATCATAACAAGTGGCAGCATCTTGCTTCCTTGAGTAAGTCTGTCTGAGAATATCCCAGATTTCAAGAGCGGTAGGTAAGAACATGCAATGTTGACTAACCTTAGAAGTCATAGAGTTCCATAACCATGTCATAATAAGAGAGTCTTCATCATCCTAGTCAGCAAATTTTGGATCTGTTTTGGCAGGAACAGGTCCTTCAAGATGAGTAATTTTACGACGACCTTTAAGATGGTACGAACAAGTTGGGACCATTGCAAATAATTCTTCGCATTAAGATGATAATTCTGAAGAAGAGGAGGAAGGTCATTTGGAGAAAGAATAGCCATCGAGCATGTACCAGATGATTGACTGGTTGGAGTATTTTCAACGTTCAACATAATAAGGGCTGAGAAAAAGAAAAACGACCAAAAAACAACGAATAAAGTCAACGAACAGTACCAAAAACACTGTAGAAAGATCCTAACCGAGTCAAAATGCCACAATAGTCACAGATCTAGGTGCACAAGAAGGAGACGAGCTGAGCAAATGTGGTCCGAGGTGAAGCCCCTCCGTCACGTGTTGTCACGCGCCGGAGAACTCCTCAGCGCGTGGGTGTCACGCGCAGAAGAAGGAAGTGCGCGTGGAGGCGCGTCTGGTCTGCCGGAGTTGGGCTTTTTAGGTGATGGTCGCACGGAGGTTGCGCTCCTGTCTGTGGGTGGTCGGAGTCCAAAAAGTCACTGGAACAGTGCGTAACAGTGAAAAACAGATTCAGTTTACTGTTTTCAAAGCTGTGTGGGGACGTCGTTGACCAGAAATAGTAGATAAAAGGATAAATCAGAGGAAAAGGAGTCCAATAAGGGTCCTCTCGGTCCAAAAGGTCACCGGAAAAAATTTTCGGTGGCTAATGGCGGCGAGAGGCAGACAGAAAAAGGTTTCCGCTCTAACAGCGGAAATTGCGGAAGCAGAGTCCTCAGAATCGAGAGCTCTGATACCAACTTGAAAATAAGATTTGTATATTATTGAATTAATAATATCTGTACAAGAGCTCTCTATTTAAAGAGTACTGAAAGACCTAATGAGCTAAGCTCAAAATACACTTCTAAAGTATTCTAGCTAATACAAATAAATTGATAAAATTCTAATATTTACAACATAAGATAGCTTGGATAATACTTCTTTAGTTTGGCAAGGTTAGGATGATGCAATTGAACATGAATGAAAATAGGGGAATCCTTGACTATGCAAACATGAGAAGGATGGGAAAGCTAGTGCAGACCATTTGACTCACATCCAGTGCCAATCATCTGCCCTGAACTCCAGTCGTATAGAAAGATAGAATATTTAGTTAAAGAGATCACATAGTCAATAAAACAAGTCAAACTGGAAAGCAAATTAAATGGGGAACCAAGAGATAAGGGAACAGATAGACAATACCAACCTTTTGGACTATATTTTGGAGCCATTAGCTAAGGTGATGGTGGATAAATAACAAGATGTAGAAAGATTGGAGAACAAAGATTTATTATTAGAAATGTGATAAGTGGAACAATAATCTAGGATCTAAGGACCTAGGGATGACGATTAGGAGAGATAAGCAAATGAATTACCAATCTGCACAATAAAGGCAATGGAACTAGGATTGAACATTCCTCAAGTCACTTCAAAAAATCAGCAAAGGCAACCAGGGATGGTTGTGGAATACTGGACGATGTAGAGGGCGTTAGGGGAGTGAACAACCTGTTAAATATCAGTAACCAAGAGGTATAATTGTATTCCTCGTGTTAAACTACACAACATTGATTCTATTATATAACACACCAAATGAAAATACAAAAAGATACACACTGTGTGGGACTTCTACACCATTATTCTAACACTATTCTTAACACTCCCCCTCAAGCTGAAGCATATAGATCATATGCTACAAGCTTGTTACATAAATAATACTCCTATTAGGAATAAAAAACAACAGTGCTACATCAACGAAATAAAATGACTACGTACAACAAATCAACTGGAATTACCATCAGTCTGAAAAGTTGGTAAAGAGACAGTGTTGGAATGGACATCAGCAACATGGACGGTGCCGGAATGAACATCGGCGAAGACAACTGATCTGGCCAAGACATCAGCATCATGATCCCTCTCAGACATTTCATCAAATGGTTGGTGAGCAGCATTGGTTTCCTCTTGACGGGGGCCAAAATAAAGCTAAACACAAATAAAAAATATTGGAAACACGATAAACATATAGAAATAATATCACAGAGGCCAACTACAAGCCAATTGCAAACACTTAATAGCACCAAACACAGTAAACAGTTAATTGAGTGCTTCGAATAGACCGATAGAAGATGACGGAAAAGACAACAGTGTCGGAGCTTCGCCGGAAAACATGAACGAGGTCGAACAACAGCAACTGGTCCGATGAACAGAGGTGAACTTTCTCGCGAACAGTTGAAGGTGCACGAACAGATCTGGAACCAGCAGAGTGCAACGACGGCAATCTGCAACAGGGTCAAACGCAAACAATGGAGAACATCAAACTCGAACAACAAATGCGAACGGTGGAGACTCCAAGAAGGTGGATAGCTCAAACAATCTCCTTGAACGAAGTGGAGGCCGATCTGGAAAGAGGATGGATGGGCGACCTTGTTTGCCCTTGGTTGACAGCGAACGGCAACCGAAAAACGCTGCACGGCCCGGAGGAAGGTGGCACGTGGTAGTCATGCACAGAGATTGAAGTGGTGAGTGAGGACTCCGACGACGGTGGGGCTGGCGGCGTTGAATAGATCGGCTCCTTTTGAGTCCGTTGACGTACTTGTTGATCATAACGGTCATTGGAAAAATTTTCCGAGGGCAGATGATGGTGGCTGACGGTGGCCGGAAATTGACGACAGTGAGCTTGCTGCAATGAACAAAAAAACTAGAGACCCCACAACGAAGGAGTAACTGGAAAAGAAGTGATGGCAATCCCTCAATGTGGGTGATATCTCTCTACAACATATTAAAATTATGAAAAAGAGAAATAAGAGAAGCGATTAAGATTTCTCTCGTTAGACTCTCGATACCATGTTAAATATCAGTAACAAAGAGGTATCATATCCTTGTTGTGTTAAACTACACAACATTGGTTCTATTATATAACAAGCCAAATGAAAAATACAAAGAGATACACACTATGTTGGACTTTTACACCACTATTCTAATACTATTCTTAACTCAACCTATGCAGTATTAGCAATGCGGGGAGGGAGGCTATGGATAATGCATGACTTGATAGAAAGACATTTGTGTATGGAATTCTATAGTATCTTAAAACTACTCGGAAGAGAAGATTTTTATTGGAAAAAGATGGAGAAATGTCCATGATGATGTATACCGATGTATATTATATAGGATCAATTATTGATAGAAGATTAACTTATGGTGATTGGATGTTTCTTTATGGGAATTTAGTAACATGGAGGAGTTAAAAACAAAATGTGATGTCTTGATCAAGTGTAGAGACAGAATTTCGAGTTGACACAACGGGTTTGTGAATTACTAAGGCTAAAAATCATTGGAAAATCTCAAGATAAAGTATGAAGTACCTATGAGTTTTTTTTTTTTGAGATAATAAAACTGCCATTAGTATTGCTCATAATTCAGTTCAACATGATAGAATAAAATACATTGAGATTGATTGTCACTTCATCTAAGAGAAATTGGGTAGTGGGTTGATTACTACTGCATATTTCCCTTCTAGACTTAAATAAGTAGATTTGTTGACTAAGGAGGAGCTGCAAACACAGAGCTAGCAAGGAAAGATAATTATCCATTCATTAGTTTGAGTGCGAGTTTTGTATGTATAAAAGGAATCATTATTTAATATTATAGATTTGTTTTTCTGATTGGATAGATTACTTAGGGCATATGTTCTTGTTAGAGATATATAAAGCCTTTAATATAGCCTTGCCCACCAGTTTAAGCTTTTGGGTTGAAATGGTTCTTTACATGGTATCAGAGCTTTGGTGTCACAAGTTCGATCCTCATCGCCCCCCACTTTCTCTTGTGGAATTTCTTAGCACAAGTAGGTGGATCTGTGTATTATCCACCCTTTATGCCTAGTAGGCTCTCGTGTGAGGGGGCGTGTTAGAAATATATAAAACCATTAATATAGCCTCATCCACCAGCTTAAACTTTTGGGTTGAAATGGTTCCTTACAGTTCCTTATTTGTTTCCCTATATTTAGCTCATTTTTTAGGAAATTAATTACTGATATGCATCTATATAATGTAATAAATTGCATTTGAAAAATAAAAATAAAAATTATCCAGAATTCCATGTTTAAAGACAAATTGATCACTATCACTATTTTTAACGCAAATAATTTAGATACTTATTATCAAACAACCAAGATCTATATTGCTCATAATTACTCAACTTATATTTGTATTTGTACCATAAGCATATAAACTTTTGATCATACTTTTATTTGAGCCTTGGGTAAACCATGGCTGATTGTGGAATGATATTCATTTTGGAAATAAAAATAAACTTAATATCTTTGCAAACAATCTACTAGAATTCATGTGCTTTTTTCTAATTTATTATTGTTGTTAATTGCAGCTCTTTTGTGCAAAATAGCGGCCTTGAGATCATTTTCTCTGGATAAATTACACTATTGGAGGGAGAGTGATTCTGGCATGAGCAGCTTGGCTTATTTTCTCTCTAAAGATACAATTGATCATTTTAATACAATGATCAAGCCTGTGGTGTACCTTTCTATGTTCTACTTTTTTACCTATCCAAGATCAACTTTTGCAGATAATTACATTGTGCTGCTTTGTCTTGTATACTGTGTGACTGGTATAGCATATGCATTGGCCATATTCTTTGAACCCGGCGCAGCTCAGCTAGTGAGTATTTTAAGAAAATCATAAAACCTTTATCAATTCCCTATTAAAATATTACTCTTCATTATGTTCTCACTTCCCCTCTTACCCGTTGTTTCTTGCAGTGGTCAGTACTTCTTCCAGTTGTTTTGACACTTGTTGCAACACAACCAAAAGATAGTAAATTTTTGAAGGTCATAGCTGATTTATGCTATTCTAAGTGGGCTTTAGAAGCATTTGTAATTGCAAATGCTGAAAGGTAATTTACTGTCAATAATGATTATAGATTGATTTACACCTGTATTTGATTAATGTTCCCTGGCAAGGACTCGCCAAATTGGCAAGGGCTGCTACATCTCCATGGGTGCCTGTATAAAGTGAATAATAAACAAGGGCTGTTGTGTTAGACATCCCTAGTAATAGACGTGCTGCATACCTAAATGCAGTGAAAAACCGGTGCTAACTAAGAGATTGAGATTGAGAACACACAACATTTTGAACATTAACCAAAATAGCTATGGACATAGAAAATACAGAGATTAGAAGGATAAAAACATTGTGTTTATGCACCTTAAGTTAGACTAGTTGCTTAGACTCAAGGTAAATAGGGACGATCTAGGGAATGATCCTAACCATCACACTAGAAAAAAATAAATCTTTATTCAATGCGATCTAAATAGACATGTTGGTTGAGAAGAAAATCTATGGTAAGATCTTTAGAGAATAGTATAAACCATTAAAAAGCTCTTACCCATCAGCTTAAGGTTTTGAGTGAATTGGTTCTTTACATGGTATCAGAGCTTCGGTGTCCATGGTCGATATCGATTTTTAGAACAAAATGAGGAGGGAAAGACTACTTTGGAACAATATGTTGTTGCTTTTAGACATAGAACGTTGAAAGTTGAAAAACAAATTGATTTCAACAACAAAAAATGCCTTTAGTGGGAAGAAATACTAGTTGATTAGTTGCTTAAAATAATTATGGACGTCAAAGTAGGATAAAAAGATTGATAAGTGATTCCGAGTGAGTGTCTAGCCAACTAGCATAGGATAGTGATGCTAGATGTGCATACGAAGGATTATAGGATGAAGTTGAAAACACAGAGATTAAGTGGTGAAATTTTAAAAGTGTTGTTAGAGATATATAAAACAATTAATATAGCCTCATCCACTAACTTAAATTTTTGGGTTGAATTGGTCCTTTACAGGGTGGGTGAGGCTATATTAATGGTTTTATATATCTCTAACAAGTGTCAAGGACCAACTCTCCTAAAAACTTAAGCGGTTAGCCAAAGGTTTAGGCTCAAGCTCATAAATGATTTTTATATTTAATACGCTCCCTCGTGCCAATCATTTAAGTTTGAAATGTGGACAGTGCATTGGATCAACTAACATGTGCTGGAATTCATTATACTTTTATTTAGAACAATAAGGGCACCATCGAACTCTTGAACACTTAGTCCTAGATGCCTTTATACTATATGAAGGACCAACTCTATCAAAAGCTTAAATTATTAGGTGAAAGCTCCTGAAAGGTTTTCATATGTATCAAACAGGAAACTAATCTCTTTCATGTAAGAGATACAAGAACACGCTACTTGGGGACGAAAGGTTTCAATTTCATATGGAATAGTGATAGGTTCTCTGACTAGGGAGTTACAGTAATAGGAAGGATGATAAAGGTAGAGAGAAAGAATGATATCTATATTCCGAAATTGGTGATTACAAGAGGAAGAAGCCTCTTACTAGCGGTATCCCCTTCTCCCATTCAAAATGTCCAAGTTCCTGTTATTTTCCAAAGATGTCTCCATCTACATTTTCTCTCTATTTAACTACCTAACCTCGTAACTGCTAATGGTTCCCCTGTAAGTAACCCACTAACCTCCTATTATTTATTCATTCGGGAATATAGTCTCTAAACTTTGTTATTCTTATTAAGAGTATCTAAGGATTTAAGGTTATCTAAGGATTATGCCCTTATACATAAAGAAACATGGTGGTAGTCCGGTGGATGATAGATGTTAATATTTTGACCAGTTCCTAGTGCCAAGCTTGCAGTAAAATTTTTTATCATCACATCCTAAATTGCTGAAATCGAATTTATTGTTGGATGAAGTTTTCTGTTCGAAACACAATGTAAATGCCCAATTCCTATTTTTCACATTTTGTCTTTAACATCTGCTTCCAGTAGGATTAAATATTGCATTTGCATCATGAGAAGGTAAAGAGAATGAGAAAAGCCCATAGATTAAATAAGCTATTGATATATTCTTGAGTTGTTTTTTTTCTATGTACTCAATTATTATTTGCAATTTATGCAGAGAGTATAAAAACTTAAAAAAAAAAATATATATATACAATAAGAAAGAACAATAGATAATTTGAGGTACATAATTGTTCACAGATTTGAATCTGGATAAATTTTGTGCTAAATACTTCTATACTGCAGGTATCATGGAGTGTGGCTCATAACTCGTTGTGGTTCACTACTGAAAAGTGGCTATAATCTTCATGATTGGAGTTTATGCATATTCATCCTCATTCTTATGGGTGTAATTGCTCGTGTACTAGCATTTTTCTGTATGGTTACCTTTCAAAAAAAGTAAGACCAATCTTCAAGCTACCACATTCACGACCTAGAGGTGTACAAATTGGAAGGCAAGAATAGAATTGTTTCCAAAAAAAAAAAAAAAAACATGGTGTGTTTATTAATATTTTGGGCTAATGTTGAATATTGATGCGATATCATGCAAAATGCAGTTGATAAGATCGTATTATGGCTAGTATTGGTGTGTTTATTCCTGTAATGTATCATTAGTTACTGGCTTCGTTAATTTTTTACAGTTTGTTGTTTGTAAATTTGGTAGTGATATTTATTAAGTGAAAAACGGACCAGAGGAGTAAGACTGAAAATGTCTGGACAGAGGAATTTGTAGAAGGAAATAGAGGGATAAAAACTTTTTCTTATTTGAGAATATTTTAAAAGTAAAGGAACAAAGTAATGTATCATTGTGTAACTTTCTAATAATTCATTATTGATTTTTGAAAGTATTTATTATTTATCTAAATATTAAAAAAAAAAAGAATGAACCCTTCTCTAAACATTACGAGAAATACGATGTATAGCCACAACATTTTAACCTATGACCTTAAAATATTTCCAACTTTTTCATACTTAAAAAATTAACCGTTATACCCCCAAAGGTAGCTCAGTTGGTAGCTGAGCTCCCAAGGGATTGCTTGGTGCAGGGATCAAACACTGCCTCAATCAGTTTCTTGAAAAATCTTTGGGGGTCAGAGGATAAGTCAAAAATTTTCGGTTGGGGGATTAGTCTCGTCCTTTCTCCGGTTGCGAAGTTTAGTGCACCCACTGTTACAATGAGGGGCTAGCCCAAACGGGCCTTACCCCGAGGGCATAGTGCCCGGAGAAGGTTGAACGGGGATACCTCCTGGCAATGTACCAAAAAAAAAATAAAAAAAAATTAACCGTTAGGGCTGTACATTGAGGTCAAGCCCTCAATATATCCCAATAAATTGTTTGTTGACCCCATTAGTTTTCAATTGGAATATCCTTTTCCTTTCTCTCCCATCCAAGCTCCCTTTATCCTTGAGGACTTTTCCAATGCTCTCGAGTCTTTTGTTGAAATGTCATTGTAAACGATGGCAATTTAATTGAAATCAGAATCTCTTCATCATTGCAGTATATTGATCCATTCTTTGCTTGTTTGTAGTTATTTCATTTCCTGATGAAGCAAAACAAACAATTGCCAAATTTTTACTGGATTTAGTGTAATTAAAATGAATAATATGTCCTAATTTTATCCAAGATGTTAAGGAGCTTTAATTATCATTTATGGAGTGGTTTTACCGATGGATGGACCCTTCAAATTGTTTTAATAGTTGTAATAGAATCATTTAACATCAATATAAAAACTGAAGTTTTCTTTTGCATTTTTTCCTTGTTTTATGTTTTATGTTTTAAATTTTAGTTCCAATAAGAACTTGAATTATAATAGGAGATATGATCAGGTGATAATTAGTTTTCATTTTCTCAATTGGTGGCTTTGCCTGGTACATCGTTATACACTACTACAAAGAATTGGTGCTACAATGGTATGTCTTGGATCATCTAAAGCGATTCGAATCGTTATTTTCTTGCAGTCTGGGTCATCTCCATCTCTTATGCAGCCTAATGGGACAAAGTTATTTATAGTTAGACACTAGTGCTTCTCGGTAAATTAACACCTGATTTGGAATAAAATACAAGGTCCACGTTAAAAGCTTTTACCATGAAGAAAACCTACTTGAGAAGCCTTCACCATGAAGAAAAGTATCTCAAGTTGATATCTCAGTCAACAAATATTACGAAATGTGAATGCAATTATAGAGTTAGGTGTCTCTATAAGTAATTAGTTGGAATTTGCTTAAAGTGTCAGTTGGGAAATGTAAGGTAGTTAGAAGTTGAAATGTGAAATAAGGAAGGTTGTTAGAGTTGTTAAGTAGCTTTTTGTTTAGTGCATGTAAGTAAATGTGTATAAAAGGGTGCTTGATGCACAAAGAAGTATATCTAAATAAAATACACGTTTTTTTGTATGGCTAAAATATAGTTTTAGCTTTTATCTGGGTTAACCATGTTATGTGAATAAAAGATTACATCGTTGACCCAGATAAAAATGATTTGATCAGCACCTTACTTTATTGGCTAAAATATAGTTTGAGCTTTTACTAGTTTTTTGGAAAATTGTCTTAAAAATATTTCTATGTTGCTGTGAAACATGCTCTTGGTCCTTGCAAATGGAATTCTATTGATCATCAAAAAATCCAAAAGAAAAAAATGTCAAACCCTTATAGTCTTTGTTTGAGACCCACTCTGCCCCAGTTTTTGTTTTAATTGTGGCCTGGCCTTACAAATCTTTTTCCCAGTTCTAGCCTTGTTTGCTTGCTCCCCCCTCCCTCCCTCCCTCCAAATGATGAATGATTTAGCTGTGATTTATACCAACGTCTCTTTGTGAATCATACAAATGGTGAATTCTCCTAACTCACTTATGAGTCATATCAGCAATTGTGACGCACCCTAGCCACAATTTCAAACTCAATATGACGTTCTTGACGAATTTGGAGGAAAATTTTGGGTTTTGCTGTGCATAATTATCTTCCAAGATATTTCCATTGATAATCATTCTAGCAAAGTCTCATCTTCCTTGCTCATGCAACATTTCAACCAGCTCTTTAGGCTTGTGATCATTCTAACTATTTTCTTGGGTTGCGTTTCCAGCAATGTTGATCTCTTTGACATCTTGAGCACAATGTTTCCTTTCTATCCATATTTTGTGCAGCCTAGATTATATGGTTTGTTTATTTTTTGACGGAACCTACTTTTATTAATATGAAATTGCAGAAAATATAAATGGAGACAAACTCCTTACAAAGATAAAATACAGAAAATAAATTCAGAAATCTCAACTCCTATAGATCCTCATTTTTCCCATAAGCCAATACACACATACGCACACACACACACACACACATTCACACATTTTATCCTATACTTTAGGAATATTCTAGAATAGTTTTCATAACCAACTAACTAATTCACTAGCTTTCAGGCCCATCAATATTCCCGCTCCAAAACTCACCTTGTCCTCAAGGTGAAGAAAGAGGGACATGTAAGGTGAGAAACTTCCTCCCGGATCCCATTGTTTGAACCACATTAACCACATTGGTAACTTCAATTCCATTTTCTTTCCATAAATCTCCCCCCTCAACTTCAACGAGTGGTTGGAAGTGAGACCCACTATACCAAGGGACCACATTGGTAGATTTAATTCCATTTTCTTTCCATGAACCTCACACCATAACTTCAAAAAACAATTGGAATTCCAGCCCATGATTTTTGTTTGGCCATTATTTTGTGGGCTAGTTTTAGAAAGCCCACTTCGTGTCTTCTAAAGAAGAAGGCTATTGGGCCTTGTTTCAAAGTTGGTCCTATTATGCAAAAAATAATGCCTTCCTCCACTAAGGGATAAGTCTAGGCGATTACGTTGAAATTCTTGTACGTGGGCTGAAGCATTTTGGCCTATATGTCCAATCACGTGAATTCCCACCATCATTCCCATTTAGCCCATACCGTTGTTCATATTCCCTGATACGCCTTCTTTCTCCTCCACTATCATACAAATCGATGGCTGGGTTTCTGTTTTGTCTCCTTTCTCTGCATCTTCTCCTATTGCAATTTCTTCTTGTGTTTTCATTTTCTTCTCCTATTCCATCGTCATCATCTTCTTCTGCAGCTGCAAATCCTTCTACAACCATCCCAGAGTGCCCTGCCCCTATTCAGCCTACTCCCCTATCTTGCTCATCGCTTGGGTTGCTGGTTTGGGGTGGAAGATGCTGACCCGACTCGGACCCAATAGTCGTCTCATGCCTTTCACAGTTCTTCTCCTTTTTTTCTCCTTCAACTTCTTGCACTTGCATTTCTTCTTTTCTGATTTCGCCTTCATCTCCTACTCCTAACAACATCACATGAAATCCTTGATTGCTGCACACATGATTTGGTGAAAATGGCGCGGCACAACAAAAACAGAGGTTCGTTCATCCCAAATCTGCCACCACTTCTGCATTGTTCCCTTCTGATCGTTCTTTTGCGTTTTCTGCTTTGGTGTCGTTTTCATCTTCTGATTTTTGATCTGCTTCTTTTTCTTCTTCAACTGCTACTACATTTCCTTGTTCTTTCTTTTCTTTTTCTTCATTTGCTTCTTCTTCTTCCAAGGCGTCCGTCGCTGATTCTGTACCATCTACCACGTAAATTTTAGATAAATATTTTGAACGCTTCCTCCAGCTTGCGGTAAGATTGAACAATTTTAAACCTTGATACCAGTTGAACGCACTCCCTCTAAGCCCTCTCATAGCTTCCATGTACTTTTGATCTTCATTGGTTCCTTCTATTTGGAAAAATTGTTCCAAATGGATTAGTCATCCCCAAGCTTCGTTATCTCCTCTGTCTCCATAAAATTTTGGAACCATTTAAATCTGTATTTAATTTTTTTATAGATCTGGACCAGAAGCACCCCTAGATGGAAGCGCTTTGATACCAAGTTGATGGTACCTACTTTTATTGATATGAAATTGCATAAAATATAAATGGAGACAAGCTCCTTACAAGAATAAAATGCAAAAAATAAACCCAGAAATCTCAACTCCCAGAGATCCCTTTGACGTTTCCAGCAATGTTGATCTCTTTGACATCTTGAGCACCCGTTAGTTTCCTTTCTATCCATATTTTGTGCAGCCTAGATTTTATTGTTTATTTATTTTTCGTTTTCAAGTGGATTATATCTATAATAAGCTCAAAGCCTAGGTTGATGAAAAATGATAGAAAGGATGATCAATATTGTCTCCAACAGTGTAAATATTGTTGTTCAACTATGTTGCACCGACACGGATACGAGACATAACACGACATTCCGATACGTTAATTTTAAAAAATATTAGATTTCGACGATATTAAATAATATTTTTAATTTATATAGTGTATATTATATTTAATATTCAATAATTTAACAAAAAAATGAAGTTAAACTTATAATACCTATCAATTTTGCAAAGAAACATAAGATATCTCAAATATTTATATTAAACTCAATAAAACAATAATCGTAATCCAACAAATCTAATAGATAGAACTAAAAATGCAACACAATCTAATGTTTGAACTATTTTTTGAGTCTCTGCAACGTGTGTTAAAGTGTCGGTGGATCATAGTTGTTCAACATTGTAATGCATTATCTCCTATTGTGTCAATAGTGTAGAATAGTTCGGTAA